AAAAACAGCGGGAAGAGATCAGCCCCATCAACACTGCGCTGGATCATTTGGTCGATACGCCAATGAATGGAGGGCTGGCCCGCTACACCCAGGGGGACATTCGTTTTACGGAGGGCGATTCTCGTGCGGCTTGTCAGCATGGGGCCATAGCAGAAAGATTGGCCCACAAGGTATTTGCTTGATGTCTATTGGTCGTGGGTCCATCTCGCCACCGTGCCTGGATTATGGGTCATAGGCCTCTAGGATGTTCGTTGGCATGTCGCCGGAGGCCTGTCGGGGGCCGTTTTGAGGCCTCTTGGGGGCCGTTTTGGGGCGTATTCGGGGCCTCTTAGGGGGTCTCTTGGGGCCTCTTGGAAGCCTCTTGGGGCCTCCTGGGGGCCTCCTGGGTGCCTCTTCGGGCGGAAGTCTTCGGTTCGAGTCCCCCTCTTTGGCCTTTCTTGGGGCTGTCTTTGGGCCCTCTCTGGCCGTCGTGGGCGCATCTGGGGCCGTCGTGGAGCCCTCTAGGGCCGTGTTCGGGCCCTCCTGGGGGCCTCTTGGGGCGGTCCTGGGGGCCTCTTGGGCCGCCTTGGAGCGTCGGCAGCTCGAAAAGTCGAGGACCCACACATCATGGAAACACCGATGGGCAATCAATGATTTTGGTCTCTCGATGCCCTCTTGGGAAGGCTCCTGGGGCTCTCTGGGGGCGTCTCGGAGGCCTCTTGGGACCATGTTGGGAGCCGTGGTGCGATCTTTAGGCATCTCGGGCCATCTTGGACCATCTTGGGGGCCTCTTGGGGCCCTCTTGGTCCGTCTTGGGGCCCCCTTGGGTCCGAAAACGTAACGCCTGGAGATGCGGGACGCCCCCGACAAACCGCTGCAAGCCTTTGGAATGTTGGCAAGTCTTGACACTTCGCGTATCAACACCAGCCCGCGCCCCGGACTTTGTGCTCGCTCCATTTCTCTCGCCTTGGAGCCGCGAACCAAAAAAGTACCCCCACCAGCCCATCCAGAAGCATATCGCCAGGCGAGTTGTCTTGATCAGGGAAGTTGAGACGCATGCAGCTCAACAACCGCCTTGGAAGTGGTTTCTCGGAGGTCTCTTGGAGCCGTCTTGGGTCTCTCTTGGGGTCCTCGCGGCGCCACTTGAGGCACACTTGGAGCCTTCTTGAAGCTCGTTTTGGGTGTCTATGGGCCCTCTTGGGGCTCTTTGGGGGGCCTCTTGGAGCCGTCTTGGGCCCCATGGCTCAAAAAGAGGGGGGTAACACATTCACTCCCAGCCCTCGGAGGCCCAATCATTATGCCTTGATGATCCCTTGGGGCACCTTTGGGGCGCTCTTGGGGCCTCTTGGGCCCCTCTTGGGGCTCTCTTGGGCCGTCTTGGAGCCATCTTCAGGCTCCACAAGCCCATGGGAAGCGAAAAGGCGAGACGGCAAACAGCATGATTTTCCCTGGGGGGTTTGGCCTTGGGGTGATCCTTGGAGGGCTCCGAGGGCACGTAAAACCGTTTCGGCGCTGCTTGGGGGCTTCTTGGTCATGTGTCGGAGGCTACTTTGAACCATCTCGAGGTATCTTGAGTTATCTTGGAGGCCATCGTTGGCTCTCTGAGGCCCTCTTGGACCATCTTGGGTTATCTTGGGCGCTCTAACTACCCGCGCCCCCTCCCCCCTCCCAGGCCCAGGGGATGGGGTAGAGGTAGTGGTCAAGACACCCTCGTAGATAGCAAGCCGTCTAGCTCACTCCCACCCGCCCTCCCAACACACAACACCCGAGCCTCAGCATGTTCAGCGGTCGTCTGTGGATTAACAGCCACTGGGGACCCAAGCCTACCCCGTGTGCGCGACTTTTGGGTGAGGTGCGCCACGCGGGCCAGGCGCGCCACGCGCGCCCGGCACCCTCGGGGCCCGAGCGTGCCAGGCACGCAGGGTGCGCCAGATGCGCGACGTGTCCCACATGCGCCAGGTGCGCCGCATGCTCCGCCGCGCCAGGTGCACCACGCTCGGGCCACGTGCAGAGTGTGTCAGATGCGCCTGAGCACGTGGCAGCACACATCGGGAAACGTGTCGGCCCCCAGCATCCTTGTGGGCCTGCACACAACAGGCCATGCGCCACCACCCCCACCGTCCCTGTCAAAAACCACTTGACAGTGGTCGCGGGGTGGCCTCGCATGATCCAGATTTAGCCGCGAGGTGTGGTTGTGTTGTTTTGTTGGCAGGGATGGTGGCCATGCGCGCAGCAGGCAATATGCTGAAACCCCACCGCCACTGTCAAACAGATGCGAAGTGCCCGCGGGCCTCACGAACATGACTCAAGACTTTGCCCCAAGGTGTACTTTTGTATTGTTTTTGACAGGGATGGTGGGGGGAACCGCATCGGGTTGGTTGCGCAGGCTCCGAATATGGAGGCAGAGTGCGTGTTGCATTGTTTTTGACAGGGATGGCTGGGGGGTGGGGAGCATAGGGTCGGCATTGTTCCTGGTAGGCTGCCAGTCGCCTGAGGGCTGAGGGAGGGGGGGGGCGTATATTAATTGGGATCAGTGATCCACCCTTCCCCCGAGCATGAGAAGGAGTGTTTTTGGCAGAGAGAGAGAGAGAGAGAAGACAAAGTCCGTTGAACCACCTACGCCAAGAGGGCTGGTGGGATTCTGGGTCCGAGCCGCCTAAAGTCTCTTCAAGATTGAGGACTGAGGCGAAAGGGATTCGGCAAAAGGCCTGAGGACACGCCCACTCCGCGCTCAGAGGCATGGTGGCGGATATATGGGCATCGCTGTCTACAAAATGCGGTGCACAGTGGCACCGTGTAGAGAGCCTGTAAATTAGACGTGTAGTTCCAGCCGCGGGGTCGAGTACGATTTCTGGCTTAAGTGCAGGGGCAAGAGTGGGAGGGAGGAAGCGAGAACATTCGGTGTCAACCCGAGCAGTTTTGCTGCTAAGGCGGGCGAAATCTGTGGCCAACCCTTCCCCGACTCCCAAACACGAGTTCCATTTCACACGAGAGGCATCACGGGAGACTCAGAGCACATTTTCGGCCTCTTCCATGCCAAGTGGCGGCGCAGTGCTGTCAGAGGCCCAATACGTGTCACCCTCCGTGTTGACAGTAGCAGCAATATTGTGAGCAAGAGCACGACGCATTGCAACTGAGTAGGTTTTGTTTTCGGCAGCCCGCCATTCGTCAAGTCCTTATCGACTCCCATTAATTCGGCGGCCAGGGGGTACGTAAGAGGGCGAAGGCCTTCTCAGAAGGCGGCAGGTCTTTTCAAAAGCACTCCGGCCCTCTGAGAAGCCCTCCGTGGTGCCGGAGAAGGCTTTGAGAGCTTCTTGGAAGGCCCGTGTGGAAAAGCATCCGTTGCCCTGATCTCAGGGTTCCCCGTGGGGCGCGCCGCCGAGTCAACATCTCGTGAGCTCCACGACCATGAGAACAGCGACCGCATTCGGGCATGCTAAGCAACCAAGAGTGAGACGGACCCACACGTAGGGCAAAGAGGCGCACGGGTGCCCGAGCCTTTCGACCGTGTTCTCCCTGAGGAGGGAGCCCTCGTCCTCCTCCTCCTCCCCCTCCCTCCCTCCCTCGCCCCCTGCCTCCTCTACCTCCTGCTCCTTTTGACGTTGATCGGGCGTCAATCGGATCAACCTTCCCACTCCTTATTCTCCTTCTCCACCTCCCTCCTAGCCCGCCCTCCCTCCCTTCTCATCCCCTCCCTCCTCTTCCCACTCCTCATCCTCCCTTCTCCTCTCCTCCCTCCTCTTCTCCTCCTGCCTCCTTCTCCTCCTCCCTCCTCTCCCTCCTCCTCCCTCCCGACGGAGGAAGGCTGAAGTCGGATGCGGCTAGGGCCGTAGTGGTGATTCGTTCCGCAGATTTCCCGAATGCTCTCGGAGCGTTCCGGAGCGCTCTGTAACCGTCGCGGCGCCCGATCTATTCCAGAATCGTTTTTTCCAGAGATCCCTTGGTCCTGGCTTCGTCAATGCGGAGGGGATGCCGCGGACGAGGAGGATGAGGAGCAATCGCCATGGCATTGCCAGGGATAATAGTGGTCACCGTTAGAACGGATCATCGCGAACGGCACGGCACGAGCACGGCAGAGGAGTAACCAAGAGGAGGCGCAGCCGTGGCGGTGCCCCACAGGTTGGCAGGGTAAACGTAGTGCAACGCGCGGGGAACACGAGCCACGTGCGGGGCAGCGAGGCTTTTGGGCTCGCGGTGGGCGACGCGCCGGCAGCCCAGGAGCTCTCGCAGCTCGTCCTGGGCGCGGCGCTTTCCCGCTGCGAGGGCGGTCGAGATCTGACGGCGGAGGCTGCACGCCTACCGGGCCACGGTGCGGGCGCGTCGACGGCCACCGCTGGCGGCCCCCTTGAGAGGCGCAGCTCGGTGCGCAGCCATCGCCGTCGGGCCAGGGTTTGACGAAGGCCGGGGTCCCGGGCCTCACCCCGATCATCTTCCTCCCTTTCCTCGTCCTCCTCGTCATCATCAGCCTCGTCGTCGTCCTCACCGTGCCCCTCCTAGTCCTCCATGTGCCCTTCTCCTCTTCCCTCGTTCGTTGGCTCTACGCTCCGCCGTCATCGTCGTCGCCGTCGGGGTTCTTGTTATGAGTGTGGCGCCTCGCATCTCCTTCCTCCTCCTCCCTTCTCCTCCCGCTCAACATTCAGACTCATCCATAGATCATTCAAAGCAGACTCACTCCTTCTCAGGCTCACTCCTATGTTGCTCTTGGGCCATCTCGAGGGGGCCCATCTTGGGGCGACCCTGGGGGCATATTGCATATTGAACCGTCTTGAGCGCTATTCAGACGGAAAGGTTGGGTGCGCCGAAATCATAATACAAGAACGCAGGTTTTACAAAACAGTGGTGACGGTAGGATCTGGGCCCTTGTTGCTTGGAGGACGATGCCCAGGGGGAGAGCCGCAAATCGTTCCCAGATCGTGCCGTGTGCAAACCGCCCTTTAGGTATCCAAGGTTGAGTAGAGACCGAACGGGGTGCAATCCGGTCGCCTTCCGTCGGCCGCCGCACCTTGGCCCGGGTCTTCGCGATGGAGAAGATGCCCTTCTTCTTGCCGGCGGAGCTCGCAGGCTGCACCGATGACGAAGGGAGACACGAAGGGACACGTCGTGATTGCTGTTGGAGTTACACCTGCTGTCAGGATGGATGTTGTACAGTGGAGGTCGCCCTTTTGACCCCGCACTTTTGTTTTTACGTCAGTTCGTTAGTCTGCGGCGGGATGCTCCCCTATACTGGGACAATGCACCGTCCCTGTGATATTGCACGGCCAGCTACCCGATTTGAGGCTTTTTGAATCTCTGAGGTATGGTCTTGTTGGGACAAGTCTTGCTTCTTACTTCTACCCTAATGCTTGTGGTTAGTACCAGTTAACCGGGACAGCAGAGCGAACATGGCATTGTGCCCACGGGGAAGCTTTGGAGATTCTTTCCTGTGTGGTTGGCGGGGCGGCCCCAGGGTCTTTTTTACTCTGTCTAGGGATCTTGGCCGGCTCCTGTCATGATTCAGTCAAGGTCGGGAGCCTTGGGACGGGGGTCAATGCAAACGGGGGTCAGCCAGAGCGCCCGATCTTGCAGGATCCTGCAGGGCCAGGGTCGCATTGACCCGGGTCTGGGTGCAGGATCCTGCAGGATCTTGCAGGATCCTTCGCATTGGCCCGGGTTTGGGTGCAGGATCCTGCGGAATCCTGCAGGATCATGCAAGGCCTGACTGACCCGGGTCTGGATTGACCCGGGTCAGGAGCTCCCCGGCAAAACCAGCGTGAAGAATGGTTTTTCTCGCATGGGCACCGTGCACCCCTCGGTTCTGGCCATCCCGATTGCATTTCCGGCTTCCTGGCTCAAGGGTGCCCTTGCCGATGCGTCCTGGCGCGCGGGGGCAGGGACGGTGCCTGGCCAGGGTCCCTTTGAGTAATTGCTGTTGTGGGGGGCTGGCGCATGCTATGCACGCCGGCGCTCCGAGGGTCTTGCGCCCTGAAGTTCCATATTTTATCGTTGGTGTTTACACCCTTAAACTCAATCGTTGTCGTTGGTGTTCATCTTTATATCATCCATCCCTTAAGCTCCTCCTTCCTCCCCTCGGCACCGCGGCCAGAGTGGCGCCCGACCACCCCTCCCAGGCGCAGCCTTTGCCTTCGGGAACGCGCTGGACGTCGGCGTCGGGGGCGCGCATGCGCTGCCGCTGCTGGCGGCGGTGGCCAGAGAGGCGGCCCGCGCGACCGCCCGAGCACGGCATGCTGCCAATTGCTCTTCGAATGCTCCTTCTGCTACGCCTCGCAGCCCTCCGCGTCCTGCTCCGCCTGGTTCGCGTTCCTCTCCGCCGTCCTCCCCCTGGGCCATTTTTGTCGCAGCTCTGTCATGCATCGATGGGTGTATATCGATTACACACATATATATTTAGGCATTGGTGTGTAAGGTACATGTGTATGTATGTATGTATGTATGTAGGTATGTATGTATGTATGTATGTATGTATGTATGTGCGCATGCATGTATGTATGGTTGTATGTATGTGTCTGTGTATGGATATATGTATGTATGCATGTGTGTATGTATGCATGTATGCATGTATGTATGTGTGTATGTGTGTATGTATGTATATAGGTAGGTAGGTAGGTAGGTAGGTAGGTAGGTCGGTCGGTCGGTCGGTAGGTAGGTAGGTAGGTAGGTAGGTAGGTAGGTAGGTAGGTAGGTGCATGTATGCATATCTGCATGCATGCATGTACGTCTTTCTGTCTGTCTGTCTGTCTGTCTGTCTGCCTGCCTGCCTGCCTGCCTGCCTGCCTGCATGCCTGTCTGTCTGTCTGTCTGTCTGTCTGTTTTTTTGTGTGTCTCCCTGCCTGCCTGTCTGTCTGTCTGTCTGTCTGCCTGTTTCTTTCTGTCTGTCTGCCTGTCTCTGTCTGTCTGTCTGTCTGTTTTTCTGTGTCTGCCTCACTGAATGCCTGTTTGACTGTCTGTCTGCCTGTCTCTTTCTGTCTGTCTGCCTGTCTCTTTCTGTCTGTCTGTCGGTCTGTCTGTCTGTATGTATCTATGTATGTGCGTCTGTGGATTCAGGAAACCTCTCAGAAGTCACGAGACCTTCCGAATCTTCCGAGAAAACCCGCCCCTTCTCTTTCCCCCCCCCTGGTTCGCCGCCCATACAGTCAACTCGCATAGTAAGGATGAGCAACCTTTCCAAGAGTACCCTTGCATCCTTGCCCATCCGGCCCATCCTTAGCGACTTTCGCTGCCCAATCTCGTTCGAAAAACGCTCATATTGGCGTCCAAGGCCCTTTCATTCTTACCGCGCATCCTTCTGATACGGGTTGACTGTATGGGCGTCGAACCAAGACTCGTCGTGTCTCAAGGTGGCCTTGGCCCCTCCGGCTGATCCCGGGCGGTCTCCTCCCGGCTCCGGCGAAGAGAGAAGAGGCGAGGAGGCTGATTCGTCGGAGAGGACAGGGGGAGGAGGATTCGCACACTCAACCCGCACAGTAAGGATGGTCTCCCTTCCTTTGGAGGGTTTCTCCGCGCAGGGCTTAGGCGACCCGTCCTCCTCTTCCTCCTCCTCCTCCTCCTCCTCCTCCTCCATCTCCTCCTCTCCTCCTCCTCCTCCTCCTCCTCCTCCTCCAACTCCTCCTCCTCCTCCTCCGCCTCCTCCTCTTCCTCCTCCTCGGATCGCCTACGGCCCTGGGGGAAACCGTGCACCTTCCTTCCCTCGCCTCCTGCCCTCGCTCACCGCCCTCGCCCCCAGGGCGCGCGCTCGGCGTTCCGCCTGGAGGCCGTGCACCTCGCCGGCCTGCTGCAGAGGCCGCCCTGCGCCCGGCGCCGAGGGCAGGGAACCGCGTCTGCGGTGCGTGCGCCTGCAGCCTTCTTCGGAGGTGGCCAAGGTCAGAGCCCCGAATCATAACGGGTAACTCGGGTCAGGGATAACTCGGGTTCGTTTTTCGGGAATCCAAACCCGAGTTACCCCGGACCCGAGTTACCCCGGATAACTCGGGCGTCCAGAGCCCCACATCATCAGGGGTAACTCGGGTCAGGGCTAACTCGGGTTCCTTTTTCTGGAATCCAAACCCGAGTTACCCCGGACCCGAGTTACCCCGGATAACTCGGGCGCCCAACAAGGGTGCCTTTTCCCTTCGCCAGGTCATTCCACACAGCGGGGGCCCGACCACAAGAGACCTGCCACCAGAAAGCCAACCCTGATGCCCCAGGACGTCCATCGGTTGCTGGCGTGGGAGCGTCGCGCTGTCCACGGCAGCACCATCGAAACCCGAGAAACCCGGGGCACCCTGGAGGCGAGCAGGGTGCTGCTTGGCATGGGTCTTTCCTGTACTGGCGATTCTGGGTCACCGGCGGCGCTCAACTTTGATCGCTCGCGGCGGGGTCGCGGCGAGTCGACACCACGCGAGCCTGCTGCAAACGATGCCGGGCACTGGGGCTCGGCTACGAGCGTCCGCCGCTGGCCCCGCAGGAGGAAGCGCTGCCGCAGCTTTGGGGCATGCTAAAAGGTTCCCCATAGCCCAAAGGTTCGGGGGTGGATAGACCTACCCTGACACGTCGATTCTGGAATTGGCCGTTTTCGGTTCGCGGGAGGGCCTCGCGGCCGTCATTTTTGCGGGTCCGGGTCCGTCGGTTTCGGTCCCAGGCCGTGTTCGCTAAGGGGAGGTTTACTAAAGGGAGGTCTGTCCACCGCCGAAAGGTGCCCCCATGCGTTTCACTCAACCTTGGAGCCCCCGCCGTGGCCTCGTCGGCCTCGCGAGGGGCGCTAAGGAGGCCACGGGTGCCTCCCTGGAAAGCCTTGGGGCACGCCTTGGGCCATGGGCACTTCGGTCAACACCCGAGCCTCGGGCCTCGGCACGCCGAGGTGGGAAAAAATACCGATACTCGAGGCGGCCACCACGAGGGTGCGAAGTCAGTCGCGGTTCGCGGTCACGGCAATTCCAGAGCGAGGCGCGATTCTTTCATTCTGTTCGGGGGCGGAGGGCGGCACGAAAGCGCGAAGGTTGTTGCCCTAGGACGCTGTTACCTTGGTACATAGTTTTCGCATCCGTAGGCCCCCTGGGAGGCCCTCGTCGCCACGGCTGGATTCGCCTCGAGGTTCGAGGTTTCGGACGTCTCATCGATTCACGGCGGTTTTCCAGCCCTGGGGTGTTGTTTAGCAGCTGCTTCTCGCCGAGGGCGTTCTGAGAGTGCCCACGTAGTCCCGAGCGGCCGCTGGAGAGCCAAGCTCTGATCCGAAACCATGGGGACACTGCTGAGAGAAAAGGAAAGAGGCACCGATACCCCCACTCGTCCCTCGATGTAGCCCTTTGGGAGGCCTACTTGGAGGCCCTTGTCTACCCTCGTCGCCACGGCTGGATTGGCATTGACGTTCTGGTCAGATCTCACCCAAGGAGAGGCCCGGAGAGAAGCGGTATCGATATTTTTCTTTCCCCCCAGAGGAGAGAGAAAAAGCGAAGGAAATCTGGCAGGAAGGCACAAGATGGAGCAGGAGCACGAGGACGAGGAAGAGGAGGAGGAGGAGGAGGAGGAGGAGGAGGAGGAGGAGGAGGAGGAGGAGGAGGAGGAGGAGGGAGGAGGAGGAAGGGTCAGGGCGAAGAAGAGCATATGGAGGCGAGAGGGGGAGGGAGCGGGAGGGGAAGGAGGAAGACGCGGAGGAAAGGGAGGAGGAGGAGGAGGAGGAGGACCTCAACATCACTGTGAAGCAGGCAGACAGGTCTCCAGGGACGCGGGTCCTGGAAGCTGTTCTCGGCTCTTGGCCTCCTTGGGGCCCTCCACGGGTTCCCGGGTCACGCCTGCTGTTGCACGCGACCTCTCGCCCCATCTCGCCGACCGGGCTGGAGGAGGAGGAGGAGGGGAGGAGGAGGAGGAGGAGGAGGGGGAGGAGGAGGAGGAGGGAGGAGGAGGAGGAGGAGGAGGAGGAGGAGGAGGAGGAGGAGGAGGAGGGAGAGGGGCTGGAGGAGGAGGAGGAGGAGAAGGAGGAGGCTTCTCCGAGAGGCCTCTCAGAGAAGGAGGCCCTCGTCGCCACGAGGTTCGAGCCTCGTGGCTCGGACCTCGGGGGCCTCGCCCTGGGTGGGATGCCTGGATCGTCCCGAGCGGCCGCCCGACAGCCGAGAGTGTGGCTCGGAAGCAGAGGATGGTCGTTCTCTGATTCGTTGCGTTGCCGATCGGCGCGGGCCCTCGCCCTGTCCACCTCTACGGAGCAGATCTTGGCTGTTCTTTGGCGCCTGTTTCGGGCAGGTGGGGTCTCCCCCAGAGGTCCAGAGCCAGACCCCACCCCCCACCTTTCCCCCTCTTCCACCCAGCGTCGAGACGCCGAGTAAGAGAACGTTCACGAGAGGAGTGACACCAGGGGGTGCACCCCTCGGGGACCTGTTCGGACGCACCCCACGTTCAGGATGGACGGCCTCTTCGACGCACACCCCCCAGTTGGGCCCAAACGGTCGAGTCCATGCGATCGCCCCACGAAGTGAGGGAAGGGCGTCAGCAGGTCTCTCGTGACATGGCCTGCCGTCCGGGCCGCAGCCTCGGAGGGGCAGGCAGGCCCAGCAGGCGGGCGCCCGCTCTGAAGCTCGAGGCCGACCCGGCTGGTCCTCCTCCTCCTCTTCCTTCTCCTCCTCCTCCTCCTCCTCCTCCTCCTCCTCCTCCTCCTCCCCCTCCTCCTCCTCTCCCTGTGTGTGTGTGTGTGTGTGTCTTCTCCTCCCGACCTCTTCTCCGTCGCCGCCGCGGCCCCGCCCGCACGGGGGCGGCCAAGAGGGGGGGATGACTAGGGGGGGGAGATCCCCCCCCCGTGGGCCGCGCACATGCCGCCAGCCATGGGTTGCACCCCCCCCTTTCTTGGACGCCCCCCTTCTGGCCGCCCCCGAGGTTCGAGGAGGCACAGCAGCGCTCGGGGGAAACAGGGGGCGGACGAAGCGCCTAGATACCTTGACAGGCGACGCCTTACACGGCTCGGGACCCCCTGTCGCGAGCAGGTCCCGGGGGGAGTTCGGAGGTTGCAGGGCCATGGGAGGGTTGCACTGGCTGTATGCTTTTTCTCGTCGAGCTCTCGCCATGAGCAGTTGCACGTGGGACGTCGGCCAGCAGGATATGACCTCGAACTTGACCATCACTCCCCTGATCGTCGGAGATGCTTCTGCGAGATAGCTGCGTATCGCAGCTGCGCGGAATGCATACATGCGTGCTCAGATATGTGATGTGAGGCAGGAAGTCACTAGCGGCGGCGGCGGAGGGAGGGGGGGGGGGGGAATCGTTGTTTTCAAGTAACTCCCTCGTCCCTCTCCCCTCGTCTTTCCATCCGCTTCTTTCTCCGAGGCGGGGGCTCATCCATGGCCACTGCCTCGAGCATCGCCGCCGCCTGCCGAGGCCCACGAAGCTGGATGCCCCAGACGGTGGTTATGGACAACCAATCGTTTCTCCTACAGTCACGACGCTGAAAGAAGGAGCACGTTGAGCTCGGGAGTGGCTGTGGTTTTCGGGCCGCTCCTCAGTGCTGGGCCAAGGAACCTACTTGTAGCCGAGGCTCGCCGTAGCCAGAGAGGCCCCGCCGTTCTGTATGCAGCGTCTCTTTTGGTGCCGATGGCGTCGACTGGACGTAGGAGTGACCTTTCGCCGGAGTGACCTTTGGTGCGGGCACAGACAGATGGGCCCCCAGATGGCTGAAAACGAAGCGGTAGCAGCGGCTTGCGCGCCCAGGTTTGGTCTCCCCGCGGCCCCCCAAAAGCCGCGCACCAAACGTCAGTCTTACCCAGGGTCACTCTTGCGGGTAGCCGATTACGGTATTCAAGATGCATGCGACATTCCGCCGACCCCCAGAAGAGAAAGAGAGTCTCGCAGGATCGCGGAAGCCATTCGGACCACTGCGCCTGACTACCCTGGCTCGTCCGGGCCTTGTTGGAGCCTCTTGGGGACCTCCTGGGGCTTATCGAGGTTGTCTCGGTAGCACAAGTGTCGCTTGCTTCTCCTCTCCTCTTCCCCCTCCGCCAGGCAGCACAGCCTGCCTGGGACCAACGCGGCGCCGCGTAGGGCTTCGCTGTACGCAACTCGGCCCAGGGAGTGATCTAGACTTGGCCCCCGTCGCGATTCCTGGGCCTTCCACGCCGCGAACAAGAAGTAATCTCTCATGACGGCGGCGACGCCGGCGACGCCGCCCCCCGCCCCCCGCCGCGGCGAGCCCAGAGGCTCAGAAGTCCCCCATGGGCCTTCTGAGAAGGTTCCGAAGCCTCCCCCGATCCGCAGAAGGTTTCTCAGAAGGACAGGTGGCCTCTGAGAAGTCCCGCGGCCTTCTTTAGGCGCTCGTTTTGGGGGACCTGCCTGGGGCCCAGCTAACGGATCTATTCGCCCCCAGTTCGACGCAAGTCCGACCCAAGGTCGGCTCAAGTCGACGCACGTTCGACGAAGTTTCGACGCACGAGTGGAGCGAGTATCTCCAGGAATGCCCCCACGATGAGCATCCAACCTTCTGAGAAGGCTTTCTCCTTCTCGCTCCCAGACATCATGCTGCTCCAATGTTTTCGGTGCGTGGGCCTCAGAGGTCCTGACCCTTTCCCCGTAACTGGCGTTTTTCGTCCCCGTAACTGGTTCAACGCTCCCGAGGCCCGGCGAAGGCCCCCAGAGGCCGAACATTGCTCAAACACCGCCCGATCCAAGGTTTCTGGAGCGTCGGATCTCTGGGGAGAAGGCCTTCTCCTTCTCCTTCCCCCTACCCTTATCGCCGCTCGCCGCCGGCCCCCGCAGCTGCGTGCGCTGGCGCCCGCCGGTGCCCGCCGCGGACCTCGCGCGCTTCGCGGAGGCGCCCGGGGCGGCCGCCCCGCGCGCCCTTCGCGCCCTGACCGCGCGCAGCGCGCCCACGCGCGCAGCGCGGGGGTCACGCGCACCGCCCTCTCCAGTCGGGCAACGCGCCCCAGCTCGCTGATTCGGGTGGAGACCTCTCCTCCTCCTTCTCCTCCTCCTCCTTCTCCTCCTCCTCCTCTTTCTCCTCCTCCTCCTCTTTCTCCTCCTCCTCCTCCTCTGCTACACGCAAGCAGGTCGAGGAAGAGACGGGCCACCGAATGCACAAGCGGACCGACGGCAACTGGGTCTGCCTCGAATGCAGCAAGGGGCCTGGCAAGTACTCCATCATCGACTGGATGCGGACGCGTGGCTGTAGTTCATTGCCAATGGTAGCCAACAACAGCGGACGGGCCACCAAGGTTCCCAAGATGGAATACGCTACCCTCATGAAACAAGGGCCGATTCACCAGACGCACAATATGAACTACCTGCACGGGCAGTGCTGGTGCTGGCGATGTGGAGCGATGGGATCCCTCACCGCCGACGGCAAGAGCCGCATGCTACGACTCCGACACAGATGCCGAGGTTGGACAACGCCAGCAGCCAAGCACCAGCTCGACCGCCTTCGGCGAGGCAAGCCCCCCAAACCAGGCAAGGCCAAGTGGCCCGACGGCACGAACGCCAATCCCGAGCTGCCTCGCAAACCCAGGGCCAGCAGCTCAGTGCGGGCAGCAGCGAGAGGAGCGGGCATGGCCAAGCGGAAGTGGCCGCATAGAGGACTATCGACGCTCCTGACTACAGACCACTCCTGCATGGGAAAGCGACCCAAAAGCAAGGGTTGGCACCTATGGGTTGGAACGCCGCAACCGAAGTCTCGAGCAAATCCAGGAGATAGTCTCCCTGGTGCAGTAGAAATTTGGAGACAGAAACCTCAGCGACAAGAATCTTGGAGATGGCATCCCAGGTTCAGGAGTAAATTGCCCTTCAATGTCCCGACCAAATCCTGGGGATGGCCCCCCAGGTTCAGGAGTAAATTCAGCCGTTGGAGGGAGTCTCGAGCAAAATCCTGGGGATGGCTTCCCAGGTTCAGGAGTAAATTACGGCCCAGCCACGTGCTCAGCCAAGCGAAGCTCAGGAGAGCCCGATAACCCAGCCGTGGCGCCGAAGCGGCCCAAGCAACGGTCGAGACTGGGCACACGCAGACCTCGGGCCACCAGCGCAGACAACCTCGCCAAGCGCAGATGCGACCACCACAGGGGGCAGCCAGACCACATGGACCTCACCATAGACGACGGGCCCATCTTGCACAATAACGTCTCGGGGCACCCGACCGACACAGAAGGGATGCAGAGGGGTGCCCTTCCCCCAACTGACGCAGACCGAGACACTCGGCCACTAGACAGCTCACGATCGTGCAGGCCTGACCGTTCACGCAGCCCAACAACTGCGGCCACCCAGGCCGGACCCGACGAGCCCAGGGGGAACCACTCACGAGAGTGCATTACGATGGACTCGAGCTTCCCGACGAGTAAACGCTCACGCAGCCCCGCAGATCGCCGAGGACAAGATGCACAGCACCAAGTGGAGGAAGGCGAAGCGCCAGGCGACGAGGCGGCCCAACCCCAAACCGACCCAGCGTTCCACCACGCTAAGCTGAAGGAGTGTGGCAATGACATCCAAGGTGTAGTGGCGCAGGAGAATTTGGTACCACTTGAGATCGCGCTGGAGATACTTTCGCGCTGGTGGATAACAGATCTGGTCGAGAGCCACGCGGGCAGAGCCAGCTGGAACGACCTATGCGTGGACTACATCAAGCGGGAGTTGCGGCGCGAGGACTTTGGTGGGTTCTTCAGGTACGTCAGCGACGCCAATTTCGACGCCGAGCTCCAACGCCGTGCCCAACAGATATGCGACCGTGGATGGGCTGGTGGACACATCATGCGGGAACGGCGGCTGGCCCGCGCGCGCGCTCAGCATGGCGACGACTTAACCAATGCGATCTAGCGCCTCACTGCTTACCAGGCCGCGGCAAGGGCCTTCCTCATCCCCAGGCAGCAGGCGCACCACCGCGAGGCTTTCCGCATAGGGTACCCCAGCAGCCCAGCGGACCACATACCCGCCGACCAGACGACTGGGTCCAACGCCAGCGCCGAGCCACAGGAACACGACCTCGGCAACGACTCCCATGCAGACAGCGGGCCCAGCGGGACAGCAGGAGACACCCCAGCGGCAGCGGCAAGGGTATTGGACCAGCAGCAGCACGGGGCGGGCATCCAAGGACCTCAGCAACCAGTAGCAGCAAACCCCGCAGATGCGCAGGGCACAGCGGCCCCAGCAGCGGAGCAGCCCCAAGCCCCAGTGCTGGCCGCTGCAACAGAGGACGCAACAGTTGCACCGGACGAATCGGCTCGTGCAGAGGGGCCGCCCCAGGCCCCAGCGCAGGCTGAGCCATCAGGGCCAGACGAGTCGGACGAGCCAGACGCACCGAGATCCAGGTCCCCGCGCTCAAGACGGAGGCGGGCGCAATCAGCCTGCAACGAATCCATGGGCAGCGACGACGGGGCACAGGAGACCTGGTCTACACACAACTCCCTCAGCCTGACCGCCCTCAGCCAACAGCTGCGAGACTACGCGGCCATTTGGGTGCACGACCTCACTGCGCCAGAAGCGGGACACACATCATGGACGGCATGGGGGTACCAGTACGTCATGGCGCTGCTCAACAACCCTGTCCACAGGCGCCTACGTGACGGAGTGGAGTTCATCGCAGGTATCGACGGCACCACCAACTATGTACGCGGCATCAAAAATCTCGCGTGGATCGGCGCGCAGACAATGCGCCAGAGGCTGACGGACCACATCCAATCCCTTCAGGTTGGCGAATGGCTGCACGTGGTTGCGATGCATTGGGCCAACCTTGACGAAGTCCACCGTGCCATGACGGACACGCTCAACGGTGAGCCCACCACCCTTGGAGGTCAGCCACCAGAATGGGCCCCGCCCCACGGCGCTGCCGCAAGCGTCTGGCAAGGACCACCCACAGAACCAGCACCCGCGCTACGGAGACCAGCTTACATCCCCAACAGGCTTGTCACGGAGGGCTGGAGGCGACCATGGCCTAGTTGGGACCTGGCGCCCGAACCAGACAGCGGCGACGACTGCTACCACCATCCTGATGCGGCACCCTCTCACGGCGGAGCTGGCCAGGCCCATCCACAACCGCTACCTCGGGCAGGGCAAGCTCCCGCTGAAGGTGCTCAGCAGCGCCCTGCCAGCCAGGCAGGTGCCACCGAGTTTGAAGCAGAGACGGACCTGCCGACACGCAGTGCACAACAAGCCGACCAGCCTCAAGCCGAAGGAGCACCAGGTGCTGAACAACGACGCCGAAGCACGAATGTGCAGACCAGGCGAATGACAATAGCTGGCGGACGCGACCGACCAGAGGAGGAAGACGGCACGCAGCTCATGGAGACCGCCGCGGGGCCAGAGGGCCACACCAACAGGGCGCACCCAGCAGCCGCTGAGCATCCACAACAGCCTGAGGTGCAAGAGCACCATCCCCATCACGGAGAACTTCAGCCAGACCAGCCGCGCGAGGAGGCAGAGGCACCAGCCAGCACCAAGGCTGACACGCGCGGGGATGCCACCAAGCGGCCCTTGCAGGGAACTGCAGGCAAGCCACAGTGCAAGGCGCGCCGCCCAGCGGGGCCTGACGCCAGCCCAGACGCGCAAACCATGACAGGATCCCCCGCGGCCAGAGAGGCCATGGCAGCTGCCGCAGCCCGCCGCGAGGCCAGGCTCAAGGAAGTACTCGACAGGAGTACTCGCAACCACGTGGACGACATCATCGAGCTCCTACAGGGTGAGCTCCACGTCAGCGCGGATCACGTCACCACGTCCCTCTTCATCAAGAAGGACTGCCCAGGACAGCCATCGGCCAGAACACGCTCCCGCTCGATGCCGTCAGGGCGCAGGGGCCGCCTCGACGAGCTCACGAGGACCACAGGCCTGATCGGAGCTGAATGGCTTCCCCGCGAGTTCCTGCGAAACGAGGAGCTGGACGAGCAACGGATGTGGATTAAGTGGCGCGCCCCCTTCGTGCTGCAGCAGCTGGAGAAGCTGGGGGCCAAGGACATGGACGACCTGTTCGACACGACGGGCGAGGGCGACTGCTGCGACTACAATAAGCAGCTCGCAGAGGAGATGAGCCGCACAGCCTGGGGCCGCAGCGTCACCCTCCGAGAGGCCCAGCGCGCCAAAATCCGCGAGCGACGGCAGCAAGGGCAGGAGTTCACCGAAGACCAGCAGCGGATGGGCAGGACCTTCCTCAGGCGCTGCGGCGTGGGCAGCCCTGGCACTCAGCCGCAGGTCCTCCGCAACAGCGATGGCCGGCCTGGCAGTGGCGGAGGCGATGGCAGAGCCAGGATTGGCACGGCCGAGGCAGTAGCGCGGCTCCTGGCAGCGGCAACAGATCGGCCCAGCCCCTGCGGAGACGTGGCAGGCAGCGCCGTTGAGGAAGGAGATGATGCGCCGAGACCAGCCGACGAACAGGCTACGATCAACCGCGATGACTGGAGGGGCCGCTTGGAGGAGCAGATCCACCACGCTACCCAGCCAGTGGCAGCCACGGTAGCAACTGCGGACGCCAGAGGGGGCGAGAGGCAGCAGCCGCGCGCGGTACGGCTGACGCGGCAGCTGACAGGAGGGGGCGAGGTGCAGCGGCCCGCCAAGGTGGCCCGCACCGCGCCTGCCGCAGGAGGAGGTGGCCAGCAGCCCTCCATCCGCCTCCTCCTGGGCTAGTGCACAGCCCAACCGCGTGCGCCACAGACGGCAGCGCGCGACGCCCCGCTCAGCACGCTGGGGCACGGCGGAGGCGCGGACCACCAGCAAGGCTCGCGAGCCACGCCGAGCGGCGCAGGCTGCCGCGCCGCGGGCACTGAGGGCTGGCGGCAGTGCGCGCGCGGGCGGGGGCGCGGGACGGCCGCGTGCCGCCCGCCGCCCGTGGGCGCGGGATGCGTCCGAGGCAGGTGGGGGGGCGCCACGGGCGCCCCCCCCACCTCAAGTGATGTCCCAAGAGATGTCCTCCTCCTCCTCTTTCTCCTCCTCCTCCTGCTCCTCCTCCTGCGCCTCCTCCTCCTCCTCCTCTTCCCTTGCTCCCGTTTTAAGTCGGGCGTGTCTTTCTACAGGAGGAGTTTTCAAGAAGAGTCATCGAGTAGTCTGGGGACGATGTTTCCGACTATCTCTGACTATGTTTGAGTATGTGTTGGTTATTGTTCTTTCTTTCTTCCCAAATCCGCATGTAGGAGGACATGTCCGACCTAAGTCTCGTTGGTTCGGTTGGAGATCTGTTCAGATGTGGTCAGGGGAGGAAGAGGTGCCCAGGTATGCATGCACACCGACCTTGGCCAGGCGGGGTCGATGAATGAGGGGTAAAAGATGGTGCACGCTTCTTCCCCCGAAGTAATCGCCCCCTCATGAAGCAACGCCCGATCCCAGACGGGTAATTTCAGAATCAGAACCAGTAGTGAGAGGGTTGCCTTTTGCTCAGACGCCCCAGAGCCCTCCAAGACAGCTCGAATCAGACCCCCCCCCCCTCTTGACTAGGAAGTCCAGAGTGCGCAGCATCGTTAGACATGTCCTGATCCACGCTGGGCCACGGCACCTTGGAACCACCAGCCTTCCCACCCAGGCGGGGACAGGTTCTGCGAAACAGGAAGGAGACAGCATCGTCAGGCATCTCCTCGTCCCAGTTGGCCGGCTCGGACGAAGAGGGGGGTACCAAATTTGTTGCATGCAGCTGGTTTCGGCTCCGCCGCTGGGGTCGCTCTCCTCGATGCGCCGGGCGCTCCCAACGCGGGAGGGCGCTGGGAGAAGCAGCTGCGTGAGCTGAGTCGCCAACCTCTCCTTTTTACTATCCCGCTTCGTCCGACCCGAGTGGGGCCAGGGCGCCCGAGCGCCACCAACCCAGGGGAGGGGCAGCACACATCTCCACTCGCGGGGTGTCTGACGATGCTGATAACCCATCGGTCGTTGAAAGTATGAATTCCTGGATTCCCGGATTCCAATCTATTTGAAGCGCTTTCTTACCTTAGTTTTCGAGTAGCTTCACCTTTGCCGTCCTCCTTAGGAGGGCGGACGGAATCCAACCTATTTTTAACGCCTTCCTGCTTCTTGTTTCCACCTACTTCTTCCGACCGAGGGGTAGATCAGGAGGAGATTGACTTGGATTTCTGGCGGATTGGTTTTTCAATCCCAGCGTTGCCCCAATGCCAGCCTCCGAGGGCCAACGCCGACTGCGCGCACGATTCCCCAGGCCTCCAGCGTCGCGAGTCGATCGCCATGTCTGCTTTCTGTTGTCGACGCGGGCTTGCGCGGGCCGCGCTCGGGCCCTGGGACTCTCGGAAGCGCGACCAGCGGCACGATCCCGGGAGCGGGGCGAGATCTCCGAGGCCCACGTTCTGAGATCAGCCCGGCGAAGGGCCCAGCCCCTCCGCCGTGGTGTTTTGCCCATGGCCCTCGCTCGTGCGTCTTTTCTGGCCCGCGTTCGGTCCTGTGCTGCTGGGAGTTGGCGCTTGACTCTAACCTTACGATGTTCCGACCTACTTGAGCCTTGATCACCAAGAGAGGATTTCGAGCACGAGGAAAGTGCTGAAATTTTCAGGTTTTCACGTGTCGGGCCCTGGGAGGCGATTGTCGTTCGACACTTCGCCATTGTGTCGTGCAGACACCATCTCGATACATTTCCAGGTTGCTCGAACTCATTTCTGGGATGTGGTCCTCAAGTACGATGGGAGCAACATCAGGGCGTGTTCCGCAGGACGGGGGTGCCGACGTGGCCGGGGTGGTGGCATGCTGATTGTGCCGTTGCTGATGGTCACCCGGACCCGAGAGCTGACGTTTACTGAACGGCCCTGGGCGTTTACTGAACAGCTCTGCCCTGTTCCATTCCTTGTTTGGATGTGTTGGCTACACGGCTTCGCGTGTCGGGCTCAGTATTCTGAGGGTGGAGGAGGAGGAGGACGAGGAGGAGGAGGAGGAGGAGGAGGAGGGTGGAGGTGGAGGAGGAGGAGGAGGAGGAGGAGGGGGAGGAGGAGGAGGAGTTGGGGCCAGGACTGGCGCTCCCTTCTCGCGCACGAAACGCGCGTGTGGGCTGCGGCGTGGCAGGTGGGGCGGCATGCACACGGCGCCGCTGGGGCCGCAGGGTTGGGGAGCCCCTTGTGGGGCACGAGGCGGACGATGGGGGGGGCGCCAGCATGGAGGAGGAGGAGGAGGAGGAGGAGGAGGAGAAAGAGGAGAAAGAGGAGGAGTTGGAGGCGGAGGGGGGGCGGCATGCGAACTGCATCGCTGGGACCGCGGGTCGAGCTTTCTTCGAGGAGGAGGACACGGCATACGCAGAAACTGTTGGCGCTCCGCGCGGATGTCTCGGATCCGCGCTGGGGCCCACTGGCGGCGCCTCTGGCGCCACCCCTGGCGCGCTCCGCGCGCTGGGGATCGGGGGCGGAAAAGAGGAGGGTGATGACTAGGGGGGGTGGATATCATGGCGGGGGCCATGATATTTCCCCAGATTTCATGGCGCCTCTTCTTATTTCGTTACGTCCCTGGCCCCCCAGCTGGACCGCGCACATGCCGCTGGCCATGATTTGCACCCCCCCCTCTTGGACACCCCCCTCTTGGCCGCTCCCGATGGGGAGGGTAATCCAGCGCAGATCCAAGAAATCTGCGCGGAGCGCCAAAAGTTTCTGTCAATGCCGTTGTTCCGTCTTCTATGTCTGGGGGGGGCACGTAAGGAAGGGGCGGCATCCGCTGGGGCGGTCGGTAGAGTCTCCTGTGGGGCACGAGGCGCGTGAGGAGTGGAGTGTGCCTCCATGGGCGGGAGGGGGGGCGCATGCAAACTGTGCTGCTGGGACCGTGGGTGGGGCTCTAAGGGGCGCGAAGTGTGTGACGGGTGTGCCGACATGGTCGACTGCAGAAAGAGGAGGAGAAGGAGGAGGAGGATGAGGAGGAGGTTTCTGCGCGAAACAGAGAACTCAAAGCTAAGACTCAACAACACCAGAGAGTAGGGGAACAAAAACATAGCAACGGAGGTCTACGTTGGTCCGAGGATACCTGCGCGATGGGCCAGCGTGGCATACACGGCCATAAACTTGCATGCAGACGCAGGACGTGTGCCATGGGGGAGGAATTCGAAACATATAGTGTCTCCTTCCCCTCGTGTTCCACGCTTTCGTCGACCGCAGGCCAACCTCGTTCGAAAAACTCGATGGTGGCTCTCCAGGCCCTGGCATCCTTACCGCGCGTCCTTATGATACGGATTGCCTGAAAAGTTTCATTTTGGGGCGTCGAACCAAGGCTCGTCGTGTTTCACAGTGACCCTGGTCCCTCCGGCTGCTCCCGGGCAGCCTCCTCCCGGCTCCGGCGAAGAGGAAGAGAGGCGAGGAGGGGGATGTTTTGGAGAGGATAGTGAGGAGGGAGGGGAGGAGGATGATCTGGTGAGGAAGGAGGGGAGCGAGCCCTGTGTGTCGCACACTCGACCCACATAGTATGGATGGTCAACCTTCCCAAATGTACACTTACATCCTTGCCCCTTTCGGCCCATCCTTAGCGACTTTCGTTGGCCACCTTCGTTTGAAAAACGTTAACATGGCCTTCCAAGGCCCTTGCATCCTTACCTTCTGATACGGGTCGACTGTAAGCAGATTCTGGAGGTGCAAGTCTTGGGAGGTTAGATGCAGCATCGCCTCTGATATGTCCGCTGTCGAAAACCAGCATAAACCAGCATAGTCCCGCTCAATACTTGCTCAGTCGGGTTTAGTATGGGCCATTCCAGCTGATTGGCCCCTCACCAGGCTTAACTAATATGGGCTCTGAAGAAATTTGCCTCCATTAGTTATTGCCAGGAGCTGCCTCCTGATGCCGTCAGCAGGTTGTTTATCTTCCTCTATTTGTGGGGGGCTCCTCCCTGGGACCCCCAGGCATGTGTAGCATGTTCTGGGCAATGCGGCATTACTGCTGATTCCGATGACAGGACCAATCTGGCCAGAACGCCAGCACGGACTGAGCCTGTGGCTCTGAGGCCAGTTTCTGTTCATCCTGCGGGTGCCAGATTCCCCCGCTTCTCCAGCCAGATATGTTCTGCCTGATTCTTGGCGCTCTGGCCCCACCCCGCTTACGTATCGGCGGCGAGCCCGGGGGGGAGAGTGAGAAGGGGCGGGCCTGCTCAGAAGGCTCGGAAGCCCCCCAGCCTTCTGAGAAGTGTTCTGTGCCTTCCCCGACGACACAGAAGACTTCTCCGAAGGCCAGAGGGCTTCTGAGAAGTCCCGCCGCCTTCTGAGGAGGCCTCGTCCTTCTCACTTCCCCCTCGCTCGCCGCCGGGCGTACAGTCGAGGCTGATTAGTACGTCGACCCTGCCAAATCAAGGGTACATTTGTGTCCTATGCCTCGCGACCCATGCTCTTGCATTCCTATGGCAACGTGTCCTCTCGCGCGTCCTCTTCGATCCACCCGCACTGCAGCCCCCTCGCGCGGGCACGTCCTGCTGGCAGCCTCGGCGCCTGCGCCCTCCGAAGGCCCTCCAGAGCCGCTCCGACCTCGAGCCCGCGGCGGCCCTGAGGGCCGGGGGCTACCTAGAGGAGCCGCCGTGCGGGTCCACGGGCGCGGAGCAGTGAGGAGGAGGCAAGCAGTGGCGAAGCGCCCTGGCGTGCCAGTGGGCCTACCAAACAGTGTTCCAAGAACCGTTTGTGTGGTTTTCACGAGATGTTCTCAGAACATGTCTGGCCGAGACTGGCCTGTTTTGACACATCGGGAGTGTGTTCTAAGAACATGGTTGTTGTTCTTAGAACAGAATTGGGTTCTAAGAACGTGTCGTGGTAGGCCTATAGAAATGCCAGGGCGGTCGGTCCCTGCTCAAGAGGAGGAGGAGGAGGAGGAGGAGGAGGAGAAGGAGGAGGAGGAGGAGGAGGAGGAGGAGGGGGAGGTGCGCATTCTTTTCCCTTTCCTCCCCTCCCCCTCCGTCTTGTCTGTTGTCGTCTGCCTTTTCCTTTCTTCTCCAGTGTTGCCATCCAGCAATGACCTTCGCCAGGCTCCTAGTTTGACGTCCCCCCCAGAGCCGACCGGCCCCGGGGGGGATGCCTACGTCAGGATGGCGTTCTTGCCATCAGTGGGTCAGTGGATCAGGCGGAGGGACGTTGCTAGGCCTCCCACATGGGGCTTCTTGTCGATGTGTCGGTGGGTAGCGCCGCATCGGCGATGCGGCTCGATGCGGAGCCTGATTTTCTCCGCGCTGGCGTCACCGATGCATCGGCGATGCGGCGCTATCCTCCGACCCCATATCTCCCGACCTTGTTTGGGAGGCTCTTGGCGTTGGGTTCGAGGTTTGAGGCATGCGGACGTCTCGTCGGTTCCCGGATGTCAGGCTCGTTTTTGTTTTCGGACGTCAGGCTCGAGGCTAAGAAGCAACGCGTTCCGATACTGCTATCCCTGCCTCGTGTTCGCCTTGTTGCGGCTCCTGAGATACCCTCACGGCGCAGGAGCAGCGGCGCGCAGAGTCATGAGCTGACAGGCTGACAATTAGCACCCAAATCTGGGCGACCCACACAGTTTCTCGATGTCGGGCTTGTGTTGTCGGAAGGGGGTCCCCGTTCGAACGGGAGTCCCTCTCGGGGTCCGACACTTCGCACCCAGATCCCTAGCGCCTTGATCGCCCCGCCCTTCCACACTCCTCCTCCCTTTCGTTTGGAGGCCGCCAAGGGATCGGAGCGGGATGTGACCCCAGGAGGTTTGTCGGGACGGGGGACGGGGGTTTGTCGGGCCGCTCCAAGTCAGTCCCCGGACTCCTCTCTAGGGGTACACCTGCTGCGGTGTTCTGCCACCCCGGATCCGTTTTTGTTCACGGCCTGGGGGGCCGCGAGCGGTCTCGGGAGGCCGCAAAAGGCAGAAGAATTGCCGAACACAGCGCCTCGAGCTTCGCCCCCTCTGCTGGCCAGAAGCAGGGACCCCAGGCCTCCTAGATGGGGCCCGAGTAGGCGGGGTCGGAGGCTCGCGCCGCATCGCCGATGCATCGGCGATGCGTCTCGATATGGAGCTCGTGTTCCCCCACGCCGACGTCGCCGATGCGTCGCCGATGCGTCGCTGCTGCATCGCCGATGCATCGGTGATGCATCGGCGATGCATTGGCGATGCGGCGCGACCCTTCGATCCCATCTGGAGGCCTCCAGACCACCTCAGACCCGCAGCCGGCTCCAAGCGCCTTCATCGATTTACCCTTCTGCATGTTGACATCGCTCGGACGTGTGCAGAAGCTCTCGGCGAGAATCATCGAGAAGCGTCCTGGATCATCCTGCGAAAGTTTAAGAAACCGAAGCGCATGCAATGGGAATGGGCGTCCGAACGATGGCAAGACGTTCCTCCTCCCGACGGGTTTGAGCGTGTGTGTGCGTGTGCGTGTGCGTGTGCGTGTGCGTGTGCGTGTGCGTGTGCGCGTGCGCGTGCGCGTGCGCGTGCGCGTGCGCGTGCGCGTGCGCGTGTGCGTGTGTGTATTTATATACACACATTACTGCTCTAAAAAATTCAAAAATGTTGAGGATGTCTCGAGCGAAACTGTGGTCGTGCACAATTGGGGGATGTCTCGATGGGGGGGTTAGAATGCAGAGGATGTCTCAAGCGAAATGCTTGTTTTCACGTCCCGCTTGCAGGAATTCCGAGGATGTCTCGCGCGTGCCGCGTCCTGCGCGCAGGAATCTCGAGGATTTCTCGACGACTTCGTTGGTTTTTCCAGGATTCCCTTGGATTTGACAGGATGTCTCGAGCGAAACGCTTATCCCCAGCACGTTCCGTAGCGCGTCCCTTTGGCACGTCCCGCGGCGCGTCCCCATGGCACGTCCCCTCGCACGTCGCCTGGCGCGTCCTTTGGGACGTTCCGCGGCGCGTCCTCCTGGCATGTCCCCCTGTCAATTAGCTCTGGGGCAGCTACTATGTGTTCAGGCAGCTCGAGCTTCAGATCCAGATCAGTTCGGTCAGGACTCGGATGCAAAGGAGGACTCGATCCACGACGCTATCGAGCACAATCGCGGCATGGCACATCGCAGCACAGCACAGACTTCGGCACGGTACATCGAGATAGATACACTCAGCATTGCAATTTGGCACGTTCCTTGGCACGTTCCGTGGGGCGTCCCTTGGCGAGTTCCCCTGGCACTTCGCGTGGCGCGTCCCCTGATGTCCCCTGTCACGTCCCGTGGCACGTCCATTGGCACGTTCCGTAGCGCGTCCCCTTGGCACGTCCCGCGGTGCGACCCCATGGCACGTCGCCTGGCGCGGGCCTTGGGATGTTTCGCGGCGCGTCCTCTTGGCATGTTCCCCTGTCAATGAGCTCTGGGGCAGCTACTATGTGTTCAGGCAGCTCGAGCTTCAGATCCAGATCAGTTCGGTCAGGACTCTGATGGAAAGGAGGACTCGATCCACGACGCTATCGAGCACAATCGCGGCATAGCACATCGCAATTCAGCACGGTGCAGCACAGCACAGCTCTCGGCAGGGTACATCAAGCTCGATACATTCAGCATTGCATTTGCCCGTCACCCAATCAGGTGTCTTTGAAAACGTTGCCATGCGTTACAGTTCTATGTTCCTTTCCGGGTTCGTGGGTCGATCATGTTAGCAATCCGAGCCAATGCCGAGATCACCTGGTTCGATCCATCTCTCAAGGGAGGAAACACCACCCAGACCAGGCCATTGGCGTTTATTCAACGGCCCCGGGCGTGTACTGAGAGCCCTGCCCCGTCCGCTTCCTTCCCTGGGTGCGTTTACCAAACGGCCTCGCTTGTCAGGAGGAGGAGGAGGAGGAGGAGGAGGAGGAGGAGGAGGAGGAGGTGGTTCTCGTGGGGGGGGGATCCTCTGCCCTGGAAGTCCGACGTCGACTCCCTGGCGCTCGCCGCTGCGGCCCGGGGCAGCGCGCAGCGCGCAGTGGCCGGGCGCGGCCGCTCCACTCCAGCTGCTCCCCGGCTCCGTGCCTGTGCGCGGACCGACCCGGCGCGCATCCCGATCCGATCCAACCTCCCAGTTCGAAGGTGATGTCGGGCCGGACGCAGGGGGGGGGAAAGGTCAAGCAGTGGCGAAGCGTCCTGGCTCGCCTATAGCCCTACCAATGTCCTAAGAACCTTTTTTGTGGTTTCCACGAGATGCTCGTAGAGCATTTCTGGCGGAGTCCGTCTTGTTTGAACACATCGGGCTTATGTTCTAAGAACATTGTTTTTGTTCTTAGAGCATTTTTGGGTTCTAGGAACATTTCGTGGTAAGACTATAGGAATGCTGGGACGGTCGGTCCCTGCTCAACAGTTCGAAGCTGATATCGGGCCGGACGAAAGGGGGGGATTGCGAAGGGGGGGGGTACGAAATCTGCTGCATGCAGCTGGTTTCGGCCTCGCCGCATCGGGAGCATCAGCCAGATCTGATTCTCACCCCCCCCTTTGTTATCCCCCCCCCAGTTTCGCCTGGCCCGATGATAGATCTTGGCGCACTCGTGTACGGCTAAGTCGAACACGTCCCTCTACAGGGGGAATCTTCAAAAACAGACGGCCCAAGAGTCGCCCAGGACCGCCCAAGGCGGCCGAAGAGAGCGCCGACGAGGGTCCCGCGGGGGGAATTCGGACCCACTGTTCGAGGCCTCCGCCCTGAGAGGACCCCGACGATCGCCAACATGCCCCCAGGATGCCGCAAGACGGCTCCAAGAGGACCCTCAATAGAAGCCGAAGAGGCAAAATCGCCCCGTTCCCGTGGGAAAGCGTACATGTCTATCGCAATCCTTGTTTTCATGTGCCCAGCGACAAGAGGTCCCCCAGAGGGCACCAAGAGGGCCCCCGTAGCTATTTTGGGTTTGGCTCAGGCCACTTCGGCTTTCGAGGATTTAACGGTTGTTCATATGCAGTTCGTTGTGTTCTTGGCCTGCTTGGCGCTCGAATGCACTGTAGCCTTGCGCTTGGCAATTTAGTGGAGCCGGCTCCACAGACGTGCGCATTCCACAGGACATTTGATAGACTTCTGCAGGATGCAGACTTCGGAATCAATGCGGATCCCGATATTACGATGGAGATGTGTACTCATAATGACGTAGGGGATGTATATTATCATAGGTGCGTAGCGGACCTCAACGAATCGAGACACAATGATTTGAATATTGAAGGATTACCATTTTGCAGTGTGGAAGTTGGTGTCCACTACGCATGCAAAAAGGCTGGCGCTCCCGATCACGCCAGGCTGACGTCAACGTGCGATCCAGTAGTACCTCTTCCAAAAGGCAACACGTATGGATGTTGTAATGGTGAATTCGACGACAATTGCCAAGCAACTACTTGCACATGCGCTAAACAAGCTTTTGTTTATAAGGACTTGCCCAGAGACTTAGGGAGCCCCCAGTATGTTAGCTCACTTCTCGCGAACGCTAAATTTCAGAAACTTTTGTTTATAGGGGACTCCACAACTCGCCGTCTATTTTATGCGTTCTGCGCTTACTTCGGAGGCAATGCTTTCTGGGACAGGCATGGAGCTCATCATGATGACATCACTTGTCCTGAAGATGGGTTTACAGATCAAGAAGTTGCTGATGCAAATCTAACACTTCGGTTCAAGTGGGCAC